TAGAGAGTATTTATTTGATTTATGTGACAAAGCAGGGGGTTGTTGGTGTAGTTTTCCTTTAGGGGAGCAGAAAGAGTTTTCATAATTAAAAATGTTGCTATTAAAAATCTGGAAATCATAATCAATTGCTTTAAAAACTAGGAATTGCCTTTTCTTTCTTTATAGTTTTCGAATCAATCATTAATTTCAGATGTATGAGAGACTTGCATTACAATCCACAACGATCAGTTCAATCACCACCTAACTTCCCAATATTGCCTTGATAACGAATCCCAAAATTAATATTACCCATTAATATCATCATTAGTAAATATATTGAATTGAATATTTGCCACAAACTATTATTCCATTTTAATGTAACAAAATCGTACGAATATGGATCGATCCATAGATGTTTCTTTCTTCGTCCCCATCACTCAACATCTTTCTATCTTTCAAATGTTGGATGATGTACATTGCTTTGTACGACATTTTTTGTTGTATTTGTTTTATTTTTTATTTTTGTATACAATTATATACATATTACTTAATTTTAATTATTTTATATAAAAATTTTGTATTCAATTTTCTAAAATAACCCACATTGCCACCTTTTTAGATTAAGAATACAATATGTGAATTTCAATCTTTAACGAGGTAAATCACCCCAACTACTAAAAAAAGAAGAATCAGATCTCAACACGGTATAACTCACTACACAAATTAGGGTAATGCTATGCTATTGAAATTTTTTTAGTACCACATTAAAAAAAATGTTTTTAGCCATAATTCTAAGATTATAAAAATAATAGACTAATAAAATCTTTACATGTGCAATGTTCTTAAAGCGGAACTATAGATCCTACAAATTATGAGTTAATTAAACATATACCATATTTTTAAAATATTTTTATTGCTTTACCGTTATTTTTAATTTATTTATCAAACTACAATACTTTTTAAAACACTTTTAAGTAAAAATGTGTTTGTTAAACACGTTTTCAAAAAGTATAGTAGTTTAATAAATAAGTTTAAAATAAATATAAAATAATAAAAATATTTTTAAAATGCAGTATATGTATAATTAACTATACAAATTATTGCAGGGAAAGTAATGGAAATGACTTAAGATTCTCTTCTAATTTTTTTCTCCGCAAATAAAATCCTTTTTTTTTTTGATAATTACTTTTCTGGTCATTAAGAAAAAGAGGAAAGAAAACTTCAAGAAGATTGCATAAGTGTGGTCAAGAAGAGTTGCTAGAGGACTAACTCAATGATATCTTTATTGGTGATTAATTTGACTTGTTAAGCGTCCGACCCATCGAGTACAACCCTAATTTAAAATGTAATTCAAGTTCAACCTTTTTATATTCTTCCATTTATCCTAATGTTTCAATATTTAATCTTACAATCCGATTCAATGTAAATTTGATTCTCGAGTTATATAAATTAAATCCGCTTCAGTCTAATTTTAGTGCGGAATTTATTGTCTAAATACTAAATATTTAGATCCAATTACGAGTAAGTTATCAACGGATTGAGTTTGAATTAAATTTTGATTGATTTGAATTCGATTTTAGAAGTCAGTTTTAAATATGATCTGATAATTCGACGAATTTTTATTTTGTGGTCTATATTTGAAATCGTTAACAATCGAAATCTAATGCAAAAATTAAATTTGATCTAAATAACTTAATTAACTAAAATTTAATAAATTATATCTAAATTTTAATTAATTTTTTAAATAATCATTTAATTTATTTAATATTATATAAAAATATATAAAAAATACAGATTAAATATACGTATATCCAAACTCAATTTTATAAAATATAAAATATCAAATTTTGATTAAAATTCAGATATCGATAAAATATTAACTCATATCCGATTAATCTTATTTGAATTCGGATCTGGATCTGACTTATTTACAATTTACAACATTGTAAAAAAAAAAAATTAATATGGTTGTTTCAGTTTTTATCTAAACACGTGTACAAATATAGTCCAAAACTGACAGGCAGACCACCGCCGCCACCCCTACAGCTCCGCCGCCGCACACACCGCTCATCGCCGCCCCAAAATGCAACGATCCACTCTCTCTCTCTCTCCCCTGCTTCAATACTTCAATTTACGCGAAAACCACCTGCGACGGCCCACACCAAACCCCATCCTCTCACTACCACACAGATTTTCCCCCGTTTCAAAACAAACAGAAGACGACCCACCGTTAATCAACAACCCTAAACATGTAACCCTATGCCTTACAATTAGTTAGGTCGAATCCATCTGCGCCGCACCCAAATTCACCACCCACCACCCGTCTTCCTAGAAGAGAGCGTGACTACGAATTACGACCTCCACGACGATTGGATTGATGGCTACAATCCCGCATGCAGTGAAATTAGGATCTCTGATTTGAAATTTTCTGGATTGGATGTTGTAGCCCATCCAAGCACGAAATTGGGATTTTTGATTTACTGAATTTGTTGGTTATGAAATGAAAATTTCTGACTTGGGTGATGAATTCTGGTGATATTCTGTGGACGAAGGGGGCTCGTTTGTGATTATGTGTGTTGTAGTGTGCATGTGTGTGTGATTTGAGAGTTTGTGAGAGAAAAATGGTGAAACTCAATGAAGAATAGAGTTGTTGACCAAATTGTTATGCTGTTCACACCAGATACTGGCTCTAGGAGGATGCCAGAAAACCATGGCTACCGCCTACAGAAGCTTCGAGGCAGGCGGTCACTACAAAAGAAAAATTTTGGAACAAGAATCTTCAGTAAGTTATTATTATATCTATGTAACTATAAAAACCAATGGGATGAGACTTTCCTAGGAGTGTCTTAGATTGGTGGCACGCGTTCTTGGCATCAAAGAGTTTTTTCTCGCTTTTGCCAGAGCCACGTGTCCTTAGTCCCAGAAATCTCCGTTTAAACTTGGTACCAATATATCTCTCTCAGCTGCAAACCCCTCGGTCTTGAGGATACTTTCTATGACCCCACTCACTCGTTTTTATGCATGCTCATTGGCTCATAAATCCTTAACTTCTAATGATACTAGGGATTGACAGATGGATAACCTAAATTAACCTAAATTAGGCTAGGGACTACGAGAACACCCTACATAAAACATTTAAGGTGATAGGTTGAATTGAACATTCAACCAAAGAATGTCAGACATGTGGCGATGAGTACGGTATAAAGAGTAAAAAGATAAGTTTGTCTCTGTTAATATGCGGCCAATAAAGACACGCATTTAATACGTCATCAGTTGACAAGACACTTATTATGGCTTGATAAGCCAAAGAGTTATAACATTAAATGCCTGAGGATCCGGACTTTTAATGCTACCACGTACAAAAAGGAATATTAAATACTCGGCTAATCAATGTTGGGACATTCCTCATCAAAAGTAAGAGACACACTATTCGACCTCTGAAGACTATCAACAGTTTATATTATTAGCAATGATAAGCCTTTAAAGGTATAAATAGTCCCCAAAAACACGTTGCAAAGGTACGCAATGTTGCCTCATAAGAGCTATACAGTGCTTTCTTAATCCTCTTTCCTAAAAAAGATTGATTTAATCGTCGGAAGGGATACGCCGGATAGCACTCCGACACCTTTCTAACCTGTTTTCTGTGTACCAGGAATTTCTTAGGGATCTCCGGAACCAGTTCGACATCACCACCAGCAATTCATGACCAGTTCTTAGGATCTCTTTGCCCCTCTCAACCTATTTCTTGTTGCCGGATCGACACCCCCAGTAGTAATTCATCACTAGTCCTTAAGACTCCTTTGTCCCTCTCAACCTATTTCTTGTTGCCGGAACCACCATTCCGATGGGTCAAATCTCAACTAGAGTCAATCGGATATCCCAGAAACAAATCATTACAACAACCTAAGCTCCCTTTGTCCCTCGCAACCTATTTTTATTCTGTCAGAACCGCCTTCTCAACGAACCAGAGTTTATCGTGGAAGAAATCTGTTCCCGTTTCAACTATTGTGCAAAAATCAACACGCACATAATGCAAATATGATAAATTAAGTCTCATTATTATTCTAAAGACTAGGTCATACAAAGTTTAGTTCCACAGTTGACATTTTCATTACATAGGTTTCTTGTTCTATGGAATATTGGGACCGAGCAACTACTAGTGCTACTACTATCCTGGAATGGTTCTCCTTTGATTGGGCAGTTGGGCACGGGGGTGCCGTACATACAATTATTACATGGCTTCCTTCGGCTCATATGTTGATTGAGTTTACCTTTGCTAATTCTAACGTTGGAAAGACCATTGTGTAGTCAATTTACATTGGCTATGTAACCTAGAAGTATACTTATTTCGTTTGTCTTCTTAAGCCATAATAAGTTCTGAATGATAGCATTAGAGTAAAATAAAAGGAAAAAAATTGAATAATTCTGAACTTGAATTCAGCAAAATCAAAAGTATAATGGTGATAATGAGATAATTAAGCATTTCCTCTGTTATCACCCATGATTATATTTTCAGTGACCTAATGTTTATAATAATAATTTGATGGTGTACAATTAATAGAAATTGTCCTTCTGTCCCCAAGGGAGAATCGGGGGAAGGGCTTGGGTGTTCAACAAGAAGTTTTGAATTGTTGACTTTGAATTCTAGTTCATGACCAATTCTATCATATAAGGTGTAGGTACCATGTTGTTGCTTCTAGGAAATTGTTGTTTTGTAGTTATGTAGTTCTCATGGTGTTGCTTCTTGGCAATTTTCGCATAACATATATCTTTAGTCAAATTGAAAGNAGTTTTGAATTGTTGACTTTGAATTCTAGTTCATGACCAATTATATCATATAAGGTGTAGGTACCATGTTGTTGCTTCTAGGAAATTGTTGTTTTGTAGTTATGTAGTTCTCATGGTGTTGCTTCTTGGCAATTTTCGCATAACATATATCTTTAGTCAAATTGAAAATGCTCGTAAGGATACAAGCAATATGAGGTTAAGAGGCCAACTGAACAAGCACCCTAACTTGCTCAATGGATATCAGGAAGATGAACCTGACCCTATTACTTCTTACACCCTTCATCATTATGAGTCATTTGCATGCCCAATCCAATCCATCACATAACAATAGTCTCATTGTGGCAAAGGAGATTCCGGTAGGACTGATTCTTGATTTGGGATCATGGGTGGGGAAGACTGTTCATAGCTGCATTACGATGGCTATTTCTGATTTTTACGCTCAAAATAGTCACTACAAAAAGAGGATAGTTCTGCACACAAGGGATTCCCAAGGAGAACCCCTGCACGCTTTATCAGCAGGTGAGTTTGGTTTAGCTTTGCAGTTATAACCTGTTGAATAGCATCAATCATTTAGGATACAGATGCACACATCTAAGTCTCCATATGCACACATCTAACCGATATGTTTTCCAGACGTCTAATTTTTGTTCCATCACTAAATGCAGCTCTTGATCTTTTGCAAAATAACAAGGTACAAGCCATCGTTGGCCTGGAAACGCCAATGGAAGCAAAGTTTTTAGCCCCATTGGGAGACGAAGCCAAAGTTCCTATCCTTTCTTTTACCACAATTCCTTCATCCTCCATTAAGTACCCTTATCTTATTCAAATTACAGAAGATGAAACCACTCACTTTAAAGGCGTTGCTACCATTGTAGAATCGTTTAAATGGAGGGGTGTCATTTTTATAAACGAGGACACTGATCATGGGAGGGAAATCTTACCATATTTAATCGAGTCCTTCCTGGNAAAGCCAAAGTTCCTATCCTTTCTTTTGCCACAATTCCTTCATCCTCCATTAAGTACCCTTATCTTATTCAAATTACAGAAGATGAAACCACTCACTTTAAAGGCGTCGCTACCATTATAGAATCGTTTAAATGGAGGGGTGTCATTTTTATATACGAGGACACTGATCATGGGAGGGAAATCTTACCATATTTAATCGAGTCCTTCCTGGAGAAAAACCTCCATATAGCTCATAGAACTGCCATTTCTCCCTCAGCCAATGATCATCAAATCCTTCAAGAATTGCATAAGCACAGGAGTATGCAAGCAGCGATATTTATTGTGCATATGTCACCTTCTCTTGCATCTCGCCTCTTCTTGAATGTGAAAAGGTTGGGAATGATGAGTGGAGGATATGCTTGGATTATAACGGAAACGACCATGAATCTTTTGCATTCCGCGGATTCNCCTCTTGCATCTCGCCTCTTCTTGAATGTGAAAAGGTTGGGAATGATGAGTGAAGGATATGCTTGGATTATAACGGAAACGACCATGAATCTTTTGCATTCCGCGGATTCAGAAGTCATCAAATCATTGCAAGGGGTATTGGGTTTCAAGTCTTACATTCCATCATCAAGGGAGCTGCACAACTTTACTAGAAGGNTCAGAAGTCATCAAATCATTGCAAGGGGTATTGGGTTTCAAGTCTTACATTCCATCATCAAGGGAGCTGCACAACTTTACTAGAAGGTGGAAACATGAATTGTATACCAAGGACCCTACAATGGAAGTGAACGATTTAAATGTGTTTGGCATATGGGCATATGATGGAATTTGGGCACTGGCAAAGGCTGTTGAGAGGGTAGGGACTGAATCTCCACCTGTAACGAATAATCAAGGCACGGGATTGAGATTATTTGACTTGGCTGAAATCAGTGTCTCTCAAAGTGGCAGGACACTTCTAAATGAGATACTGCAAACCAAATTTAGGGGTTTAAGTGGTGAGTTTCAGATTATGAATGGAAAGCTGAAATCGCAGGAATTTGAAATAGTGAATGTCATAGGCAAGGGGGAGAGAACAGTAGGATTTTGGACGTCAACAGATGGAATCAAGAGAGAAATGTACCGATCGGTCCACGGTCTTGAAACCATTATATGGCCAGGCGGGTCTACAATTATTCCAAAAGGTTGGATGATGTCAATGAGTGGCAAAAAGCTCAGGGTTGGTGTTCCAACAAATCCAGGGTTCAAGGAGTTGGTACATGTGGACCAAAATCAAGCTAATGAAACAACTGTCACTGGTTTCTGTATAGCTGTGTTTAAGGCTGCCATTGAAGCCTTACCATTCGAAGTACCTTATGAATTTATTCCATTTGTGGGTGCCGATGGAAAGAATTTAGGAACGTACAATGATCTTACAGATCAGGTCTATCTACAGGTATGTCTAGTTCCCTCGTAGAACCAGTTCCACATGAGGGCAAATTACATTTTGCATCCATACATTATTGTCTTGACGTCACTTCATTAGTTTTACTATTGAGTTTCTCACATTGTCCCATCATTTGAATTGGTTCGACATTACTTCAAAGCCAATGTCCGGTATATTTTGGATGAGAAATATCCACGTGTCAACAGATTTTGTGGCAAACTGAAATAAAATCACATATTTTAGAGTATAGGTGATCCAACTTTCCATCCAAATGTTAATTAGAGTGTGTAATGTGAGAAACATGACAATTGAGAAGACAATATGAGACAAGAAGGGTATAATTGGGGGTCAAGGTATAATTTACCATTCCTATTGCACAAAATCTGCAAATGTTTTTCTTATTTTCCACACACCAGCACAAACATGCGAATATTGTATTTGTAGTTGTGTATAGATTAATACTATTAAAAATGGGTGCGGTCGGTCAGAAATGCTAGATTAATTAAATTTTGTGACCAAATTTTGAGTTTAAATAACATGACAGCTGACTTGGGCTTTTTTGATTGATGTCATGTCATTTGGACCTCAATAAAAATTTCAAATAATCAGTTGCCATGTTATTTGGACTTTAAATTTGGTTAGTCTAGTATTACTGATACTGATACAGTAATGTTATACTGACCAAATTTTAAGACCACATTTACAGTCCAAATGACATGACAGTTGACATAGACTTTTTTATTTGGTGTCATGTTATTTGGATCCCAATAAAAATTTTAAATAATATGCTGTCATGTTATTTGGATTCTAAATTTAATCCCAAAATTTAATCAATATAACATTAATCTTACTTATATCTTATGTTTTCTTTCATTTAACCACTTGTAAATTCCCCTCTATCACACATAACCACGCGTAACTTCCCCTCTACAACATTTAACCAGATTTATCTATTCTAATAATTTTTAGTATCTTTTTCCTTCTTCCTATCAGCACATGGGTACCATGTGTGCGCAACCCTTGGTTAGGGCTGTTAATCAAACTGAGTTACTCAAGTTTCGCTTAAGTTCGGCTCGTTCAGGTTCGGTTCGTTTTTTAAACGAGCCCGAACTTGAACAAGTTTTTAGGCTCGTTTAGAAAACAAGCCCTATAAGCTCGGTTCAAACTCGACAAGCTTGACTCATTTATGTACAAATACTCGAGTTCGACTCGGATTCGACTCATTCAGGCTCGGCTCGTTTCTTAAACGAGCTGAACTTGAATAATTTTTAAAGCTTGATTAAGAAACAAGTTTTCAAGCTCAGCTTGAACTCGACTCGAGCTCGTTCAACTATCAGCCCTACCTCTAATATCTATTTATCAAACAAGAAACTGACTCTGGTGTTTCAATGTGTTCACTAACTGCACAAAGTATCCTCGTATATATTCTGGAAAAAAACATAAAATCCTAGTTAATTTTGTTATATTAGTAGCTTTAATGCATCAGTTCTTCCATAACTACGAGAAGGTTCCTCATATTTCAGGAATGATTTAGAGACTCGCCAAGTTTTGTGTTAGTAAAAGTATCCTTCTGCCTAATCATAAGGAGATTTCTTGACATTACTGATATGAAAATCTCTAAATTTTATGTGTCGTAACAGATATTTCTTCTGAGGTGATATTAATGAAAACTATTTTTTAAAAATCTATTGACTACACATGTCATGTGCGAGTTCTAATACATTTAAACAACAATTTTTTTTTGTCGTCTGTTGTGTTGTGGATGGACTAGAAATATGATGCAGCGGTGGGGGATATGACAATCACAAGCAATAGATCTCTATATGTTGACTTTACATTGCCTTACACCGATTTGGGTGTTGGAATGATAGTACGTAAACCTATTGACAAAAACATGTGGATATTCTTGAAGCCGCTAGATGCAGATCTATGGCTAACAAGTGCAGCTTTCTTCATATTGACGGGCTTTGTCGTCTGGGTTATTGAACATCCTAAAAATAGAGAATTCCAAGGTTCACCAGCTCAGCAAATTGGAATTGTCTTCTGGTTCTCCTTTTCAACCCTGGTTTTTGCTCATAGTAAGTTCTCTCTCTCTATTTCTCTCTCTCTCTCTCGTGCATGTGCGCACAGACACACACTGCTAAATCCCATCACAGTGGGTTATTACTCTGTTACCCTTAACTCTAATGAAAGATCTTTATCGAAAAAATGATTTTATTTACTGCTAATCAAAAGTTGAAATTTGGTCAAACTTAGTCTCAGCCCCAGTGACACCAATATGTACCCCCCCCCCCCCCCCCCCC